TTAAACATAATGTCTCGTGAAAAAACATTGTATAAATTAATAATTTGATATTATCATAATACCAAATGGAATAGATCATTTTCTATATACGAAATTGCCCAATACCTCTTTTATCTCAATAAACTATAAACAGGAGGAAACGTTGATATTACACGATTGATTTTACACACGGTGTGAAACACAAAAAAATTATTTTATAATACTTGATCGGACTTGATTAGTCAGCTAGTACATGTTATTAAAAAATGGTATGGGATTATAATCATAACATGTACTAGCTGACTGATCAATCAGGTCAAGTATAATTTTTTTATGTGTTTTACACTGTGTGTAAAATCAGTTGTGTAATATCATCGTTTCTTCCTGTTTAAACTATATCTTTCTTATATTTAAATGGGTAGTTAATACAATACATTAATCAAAATGAGTCTAAATCAAATATACTAATTAGACCAACAGTCTTCGCTTCGTTTAGCAGACCACAAATAATGTACGACCAATCCAATGATTAAAAGCTACCTAAAATAGTATTTGTGTTGTACATTGAAATCGGTTTCCAAATCAACTTATGTTACAACGAAATTCTTAACTTAGTTGATTAGGGAATTCAAATTCCAAAATTCAAATTGTTCTATACTTAAAATTTTAAAAATATCCGTGTTAAAAGAATATTTATTTTACTTCGTAATGTATTTGAAAGCTTACGATGGCAAATCTTTTAATTGACATAGTAAACACTTTATTTTATTATACGGGAGGATTATATTTTTTTCTCACTCATTCTACTGTTACGATGATACCCGGCGCAATCTCACTTGCTAATTTTCCCGGGAGCATATTATTGTTTCAGTTCAAATTACTCAGCTCAAATCACTCAGCTCAAATTACGCAGCTCAAATTACTCACAATGTATTCTGCGGACTTAAAGTCCTTTAATTGAATTTATTTCCGGCACCTTTGGCTTGCCGGCATTAGTCCAATCACATGACCACTCGTATCTATGCTTTTCGAGATCCATCAAATACAACATTAGAACTAGTAAAGATTATTGGGTCAAAACGCATTCAGCTTGTGAAATCTTGAAATATTAACAATTAAATTTGCTGGTACTAGTATGTTCTACATTACTTTGTAGTTTACTTCAAGATGGTTTAAAACATGTTGGTTTTCAGAATTTTGAGATGATATATAATTAAAACAAATTTAATATAAATGCGGATTACCTTTTCTATAAATTCTCATATAAAATTATTTAGATTATAGCCAAGGAAAACTTGTAATCGGATTTCAATATATTTGATTTTTTAGAGATTTTGTCCGGCACAAAATACTATTAAAAGCCCGGTGACAAGTTTTCTCTTGACTACACTCATATATTATTATAATAAAATGTTGTGTCAGTTGTTGATTTGACAAATTATTAGCCAAGTTTCTAAATCTGTTCAAAAAGATGTCACTTGAAGACTTTGACGATTTTACACAAACTCACATGGCAACTTAATGTATTAACAAGAATATATACTAACAGGAAAAATACTCGATAAAGTACATTACTAAATTACTATATTTATACATGATTGCATTTGTTCTAGTATTTGAGTTATATACTAAACCAGTTTAAATGGGAGCCAAGTTAAAACCTGTTGGTACGCAAGAATTAAATTCTTATCGATATTGTATAATCAAGGTTTATTTTTCTAAACCTGAAATAGTAATTAATTTTGATTACTACGTATAAATTCTTGAAATGATAAATATATATATTCTTATGCATTATAAATAAAGTGCTAATATTAAATCCTGATTGTTGCTACGTATATTATAAATCTTATTACATAAAGTACATAAGCATTATTTTGAACTATACCATTTTTAAAGATGTTTTTCAAATAACGCCATGCTTGTTATTTTAAGAACTTATAGATTGCGAAATCAAATCTAATACTATAAAAATTTTGCAAGCATTAATTTAGTATCATTCATGCGTTATATAAAGACTGGGTATTATTCACTGCTAATCTGGCCTTATTCTTGAATAATACTTTGGGGTGTAACTATATTCAATTTATTCTTTATATAGTATACCTTTAACATATAGTACCCAGTTCTTCATACAATGCCGCTAGCACTATCATTTTAAGATCTTGAATAACCCTGAATACTGTATGCAGTGTATCAGTATAAAACAATATATTAGCGATGCTTTTAAAAATCAAATTTTAATTTTGCTAATATAAATTCAAGAATTGATTAAATAGTAATATTATTAAAGTAATGCATAAGAGATGTCTCAAAAGAATTTGACTGCTATTGTATAAAATTTTGGGGTTTTTTTTGCTAATACTTATTGTATAAATTGGATTCAATAAAATAAATTTAAAGCATAAATATACGGATTAAACATTGCTTAGAAATATATTTCTATTTTTTTTAAAAAAATATTTTCTCATAAAAATGTATAATGAAAATTTCTCTGGCGAAGAAGATACTGCTAATGTCTCTTCAATCTCTGATAAAAAATATAAAAAACAAAAAAAAACACCTGATCCAGAAGTGTCAAACTTTCAAGCTGAAGAATTTGAACGCAATGACTCAGCTGATTTCTTTGATGAATATGATAACCCGGTTGATATATGGGTTAATGATGATATGTCTAATGAATATGTCAATAATGATATATCTGATGAATGCAATAACTTGGTTAATGAAGATAATACATCTTATTCAACCTTACCAAGTAGAACTAATAATGAGCCAAAAATACCAAATTTAAAAAATATAAAATTAGTTCCTATGATAAAGTATTCAGGACGAAGCTAGATTTGGTCTTATTATCAACGTTATGAATCTGTACCACCTTATAAAACTATTGTAAGTTGTTTAGTAGAAGTTTGTAAAAAGAATAAAAATGAATTATGTGAACATATCATGGGATCAGTAGATAGTTTAACAGGCAACTATATTGGACACTTAGCAACACGACATGGTATTACAGAAAATTCACATAATGAAAAAACAAAAAAATCACCTTCACAACTTTAAATTGACACAATGATCTATAACAATCCAGAGCGTAAACGACGATTAGATCAAAAATTTGTTGAACTTTTAATTAGAGATCAGCAACCAATAAGTATTCGAAATGATGAAGGTTTTAAAGACTTTATTGCTGAATTTGATCCATTATACAAATTTCCCAGTGAAAGATATTGCCGTCAATTACTCTCTGAAGCATATGATCATACTAAACAATGTTTATTAAATATATTTGAAAAAAATATTATATCATGTTCGTTAACCTGTGATTTATGGACTGAACGTAATAGATTAGGTTATTTTGGAATAACTTGTTCATATATCGATAATACTTTTCAATTACAAGAAAATATACTTTTTATTAACTATCTTCCTTATCCACATACTGGCGAAATTATTGCTGAAACTTTAAACTTAATTATTAACAAATGGAATCTTAGCAACAAAGTTTTTTCAATTACTACAGATAATGGTAGTAATATGATTACTGGATTAAAGCACTAGGTTTAATGCCTAATATAATTCATATACCATGCACAGCTCATACTCTTCAATTAGTTATTGGAAAAGGTCTCTTAGAAGTAAAAAATTTAGTTAAGCGTGCAAAAATCCTTATATCATATTTTACTACTCCTAAACAAACTCAGCGGCTTTTAGAAATTCAAAAAAAATTTAATTGTAATAAAGATATTGTAAGTATATATTTATTTACTTTATATAGAGAATATATATTTTTACACCCAATTTTGGTATCGTTATACTCTTGTAATTTATAAATAATTATTATAACAATATTACGATACATAGTTTAAATATTTTAGCACAAAAATTAAACAATATAATATAACATTTTATACTATAACTATAAATATATTATATTATATATGCGACTAAAAAAAATCAAAATTAAGTATAAAAATACCTGTTCTTTAAATATAAACAATTAATTAATTGTAGCTAAAAATATTTTTACTATAACTATATTGATTTTTTTAATTACAAATAGAATTATTAATAATATTTTAATTAAAAATTAATATAGTTAGAGTAAAAGTATTTCAAGTTACAATTAAAAAATTTTTATAAACTTAAATTAATTTTTATTTTAAATTAGGATCTTACTCAAAATGATAATGAATTACGTATAATTGTTGATATTCCAACAAGATGGAACTCATCTTATTTCGCTTGGCAACGATTAATTAAATTTCAAAATATAATTAATCTTATGATTACAACACTTTCTTTAGATGAAGATTATCAAATACGAAAAGAAGGTGCAAAGTTAAAAAAAATTAATCTTACTGATTCAGAATGGGAAGCTATAAAAAATCTTACTGTAATTCTTGAGCCATTTGCAGAAGCAACTGATTTGTTAGGAGGTAGTAAATATACAACAATAAGTTTTATGTATAGTGCAATTAATGCGATTACTATGAGTCTTATAGATATTGATAGTTTTGAACTTCAGCAAGTAAATTATAATGATAGCGAATGTGTTTTTGATGATGATATTTTTAACTGAAGATCTAACAGATGATGAGTCAAATATTGTCCAAGATTGTACAAATTTTGAAAGGCAAGTAAAAATGGCTTTATATAAAGCTATAAATCATTATTGGCAAGTACCATTAGAAGAAGGAATGTTGGCAACATTATTAGATCCTCAATGCAAAACTTTAAATTTTGCTTCAGAATCTTCAAGGTCTAAAACTTATAATTCATTACGCGAAATCTATAAACAATACCAAGATCAAGTAAATATACTATCTATCAGACAGCCATTACAATCTACGAGCAAATTATTAGCTACTATGTTTCGGCCAAATAATGCTCAAATAGATGAAATTTCTGATTATATTGGAATACCAGAAATTTCTTATGATCAATGTCCATTTGAATGATGGAAAAGTAATCAGAAACGTTTTCCAGTTTTATCTTACTTAGCACGAAAATACCTAGCTATTTTAGCTACCTCAACGCCTAGTGAAAGATTATTTAGTGAAGCCGGGAACATAATGTCTATTAAAAGAACAAGTCTTTTACCAATCACATTTGAGCATTTAATCTTTTTAAAAAGAAATCGTCATACAGTTGATAATATTTTTCCGAGTATGAAAAATAAATAAATCTTGAATTATGTTAATATATATATTATCAATGTAAATCATTTTTTTATTCTATTATAATATATAAATAAACTATTAAATTTTGCTGATTTTTTATCTATTTATTTTTTCTTCTATACTAACTTCATAAAAATATACTTTTTATCATATCTATTCTAATGAAAGTTATAACTATATTTAACATATAATTAAAACGCTGATAATAAACAATAAACAATATCGTCAAGTAGACATAGACCAATATATATTAAGCTTTTGACATAAAATTCTGTTTATTTGTTTAGCACTACTATTAGTAAAAGACCACTTTTTACAGAAGCATTACGTAATACTTAGATTTTTATATCGTACTCCAGGTTCTATAGTCTATTATAAGTTCAAATATAAAGCTACAAATGCATAGCTCTAGCTATAACAATAGCTAGTGTTGTAACCACGAATATCAGTAATTACAATTCAAAGTTAAATGACAAGTTTTAATACTAAGGTTTTGTTGATCTAACTAGTATATAATTGAAAGCGAAAGCAAAGAAAAGCACTTATTTTTTATTTTTCTTAGACTTATCATAATAAATTTATACCAAGAACATAGTACGCAGTATAAAGTGTAACAGGAACATAGTACGAAGTGTATGGTTTACGGGAGTAAACAAAATATTGCATTTATTGGACAGCTCATTCACATGTTCAAATTGATTGTTGTATACAGTACATTGAGAAAGTGGTCACTAAGACTCTTCCGGTTGAAACTAAATAAATCACTAAACTAATCTACTAAAAACAATCAACAATCGTCCAAGACACCTAGAATCTTGAGTTGGAACGCAGAAAGAGGGCGCGGAAAGACTTGGTACGAGTTTCAAGATCTTTCAGGTCTTGTGGTGATGTTACTGGCCTTAGATACGTCTTCCCTGACTTTCTATCTCCTAGTGGCTTCGATTGAATCTAGAATTCTTAATACAGTCGAACCTCTCTATAGTCACCCTCTATATAGTCATAAAGTCAATATAATCACATCTGTCAGTTTACCGATTTTTTTAATATGTATTTTACTTCTATATAATCACAATTGTATTATAATCACCATCACAAATTTTTATTAACAGCCTATATAAATCGTTCTCTTTAAAGTCACATTCTAAATTAACCAATAAATTTATGATATACGGCCAATCAAAAAGAGAGTGTGTGTATGCATACAGCAAGAATTACTAATGGTACATACGTACGCACTGCTATTGCAGTCACTGAAATAAAGTTCTTGTACTGCTACTGCAGCCGCAGAGCTTAATTCTCACTAACATAAGGTCTTTGCGCTGCTATTACAGCTACAAAGCGTAATTTTCATTTAAAGTCATTGCACCATTAGAAAAGGATACACTGCTAACGCAGCCAAAATCTAACATAAGGTCCTTGTACTGCTACTGCAGCTGCGGGCCTAATTCTCACTAACATAAGATCCTTGCGCTGCTACTGCAGCCGCGGAGCCAAATCAGGGCTAAAACGATATATAGTATACGGTGGCCATTTACTGCACCACTGCCCATTGTTTGAAGTATCGTTTTTGATA